TTCAAAAATGTTATATTGACCTAAATCAGTGATAATGATGAATGTTTACAATCCAACTCCTGCTTTATTCTAGCCTGCTTAGATTGTGAATATATAAAAATGTAATGCTGTTTCTCCTATCTATAATGATAATGCAAGTAATAGTAATCAGCCAGGTACCGTCTGTATATATATATATTTATTGACATCCTCAGTAATGTAACGCTAACCACCTCATATTGACATCCTCAGTGATGTAACGCTAACCACCTCATATTGACATCCTCAGTAATGTAACGTTAACCACCTCATATTGACATCCTCAGTGGTGTAACGCTAACCACCTCATATTGGCATCCTCAGTGATGTAACGTTAACAACCTCATATTGACATCCTCAGTGATTTAACGTTAACCACCTCATCTTGACATCCTCAGTGATGTAAAGTTAACCACCTCATATTGACATCCTCAGTGATATAACGCTAACCACCTCATATTGACATATAATCAGTTAGCAAATAATGAGCCAAATGCAGTCATTTGTTTTATACCAACTTCTGTAAAGATTGATACATTGGTTATGATATTTTCATGAGGATTAGTTGCGATTACATTTATAGTCAGAAAATATAAAATAGAAAATACATTGTACTTGTCAGAATTATATAAATTTGGTCTCATTTAACTGTAAATTGTTTCATTGTTTTGAAGAAGAAAAAGGTTTACATATGTATTTTTGAAAATCAATTTCTTTTGTAAACATTAATCAACATACTTAATCAGCAACATATGTTCTTAAAAGATAGGCAAAATGGACAAGAAATATTTGTAAGTATTATATGACGAATGGTTTCGTTTGTTATCAGACACATCTAACTGACAACTAAATGAATGATTTTTAGAACTATATAGAATGAGTTATCATGTTAGTTCTCGTATGACACTGAATCATTTGATATACAAATGATGAATATGTATTATATTTCATTCAAACATTTAGGATGTTAAAGAATGTTGTTTATATGTTGTTTATGTAGAATATATATATATACAATCGTCTATACATGTTTTTATTAAAATTTGTTAGATGTTTTGCAGAAGTTATGAATACTACGAAAAGGACAGACACTTATCATACACTGCACACAAACACTGATTCATTAATCTACCATCAAACACTAACATACTATTTTAAAGAGGTACTAAAACGCACTTAACAAGTTATTTTTATCTAAAAGTTCGAAATAATTGATAAAAAAAAAAACTGCCAATGAATTCGCTACCTATTCAAGGCTCATTCTTCATTATGACCAATTTGTCAAAAGGAACAAAATATGTTTCAGAAGGGAAGTGTATTTATACAGAAAAAGGGGGGATCGGGGGTTGGGATAATTCAACATTGAGCTTTCAACTGAAAACATTGTTCCTGATCGCAGAACTGAGACAAATTGACGGTCAATATATTATTAATCTAGCTATTAATTAGAAGAAAAAAATATTGAGTCGACTGAGAAAAAATATAGTTTATATTTACATGTACGTAAAATTGCATAACATCTTGACAAGATATGACGGTAGAGGCTTCTGTTCCATGTAATAAAAATAATTAATTGCCAGTTAAAAACCGGGTATGTGTAATACCTTTTTAATAATGTTAATAATCAAACTATACAGTTTATCACTTTATGAACAACAGGTGGCATTTCTGCATGGCCAAGTTGTTAATTACCTGAGTGGAGGGATAATAGCTACTGTTTGATCTTTACAACCGTACTGTATACAGGATGTTTACTTATCAGTAGTGTCAAAGTACGGACTGTTTTAATTATCAGGATCAAAAGGTGATCGAGAGGATTAATATTTTTCTTGTTTGGTTTTTTATTTGTCATTGCTTAAATTTCACATGAAAGAAAAGTTCAATATTTTAAAAGCAGTATGGTATAATTTTTTTTTTATTTAAAAAAAAAAAATTGGTGTGATCATAACATTCAGGATTTAGGAAACAAGTTATTTGGGAATGCGCACCCCTTTTTCTAAAGATTTTATATCAATGGTTTTTGTTGTAGTTTTAACTGCTCAAATATATTTTAACTTATTTAATAATTCTATTGCTCTTATATTTCTACGATATAGGTTTTTTTTAATACCAAAAATTTAATATATATTTACATATAAAATATGCCTGTGATGACAAACGTACTGAAAGTTACAGGACAGATAGTAACACATTTGATAGTACAAAAGTCACACATACTATTTGTTTAGTTTTGTTTGAAAACACAGGAAAAATTTCTACCATTTTTTTTGGTTACTTGCATATATTCATTTTACAATTTATGAAATAGTTCATTTAAACCTAGAGTAATGAATAGATGTCAAATTGTATGCATGAAAAGGATATATTTATTGGCACTATGTCATAATGAAACCATTTAAGTACCAAGCCAATTGTTATCTTTACAATTATTTTTTATTATTAATTTTTTCAGAATAAATTTTGTTTACAAAGTTGCCATATATATAAAAGTTCTAGAAAAAAATACAAAAATTATTTTGACAAAAGTTTTCTTATTCACAAAAAAAATAAACTAAAAACTGAATTGTGAATTTTTGTACTGTGACTTTCTATCCTACATTCGTCCGTAGGCAGGACTATGCTCATGATGCTGGGGTCTGATATAACGTTAGTATATATGACACAAATAGCAATACTTTTACATAAGGTCCAAGGACTATGACAATCATATATATTTATACTGATTTCCATTTTAAAATTTTGTTTGATTTTTAAATCTCCGTATAGGTTAATTACAAGTCTATCCAGTATTTCATTTTTAATGAAATAGCTTGATCAATACATATTCAGGTTTTTGCTAAAACCGTCAAGCAGATTACTGTGACTGACAGTTCTCAATTCTTCACATTATCTGGAGAATAAACTTATATAATTTTGAAATGCTGCTGTAGCTAACTAAAGTCGTAAGAAAGAGAATTTTTATCTTTTGTAGCTCAGAAAAACCCACATATTTTAATTTAACAAATCGAACTCCGTCGTCTTTTGGAAGCACGTGTTGGGAGTGTCCTATTTTGAATGCCGTTTTTACGCCATGGAAAATAACATATAAAATTGAGAATGGAAATGGGGAATGTGTCAAAGAGGCAACAACCCGACCATAGAACAGACAACAGCAGAAGGTCACCAACAGGTCTTTAATGCAGCGAGATATTCCCGCACCCGGAGGCGTCCTACAGCTGGCCCCTAAACAAATATATATACTAGTTCAGTGATAATGAACGCCATACTAAACTCCAAATTGTACACAAGAAACTAAAATTAAAAATAATACAAGACTAACAAAGGCTAGAGGCTCCTGACTTGGGACAGGCGCAAAAATGCGGCGGGGTTAAACATGTTTATGAGATCTCAACCCTCCCCCTATACCTCTAGCCAATGTAGAAAAGTAAACGCATAACAATACGCACATTAAAATTCAGTTCAAGAGAAGTCCGAGTCTGATGTCAGAAGATGTAAACAAAGAAAATAAACAAAATGACAATAATACATAAATAACAACAGACTACTAGCAGTTAAAACTGACATGCCAGCTCAAGACTTCAATTGAACTGATTGAAAGATTATGTCTTCATCATATGAATATCAGGCACAATCCTTCCCGTTAGGGGTTTAGTATCATACCATCATAACATATATGAAAAGAACATAACCCGTGTCATGCCAACAACTGGTTTTTAAATAAATGTGTTTAGTGCCGATGCAAAGACCCTATAAGTGAATCAATATTAACGCCAAAATATGCAATCTTTAATGACCTGACAACAGTATCGTAACTATATCCTTTCTTAATAAGTCTATTTAAAGGTGTTGTTAGCTTCAGAGGTGAATACTGACATTTTTGTGCTTTATAAAGAATATTTCCATAAAAAATTGGATGTGAAATACCTGAACGTATAAGAAGTCTGCATGTTGAGCTATATTTACGAACGATGTCCTTATACCGATGATAAAATTTAGTAAATGTTTTGACTAGTTTGTGATATCGAAAACCCTGGTGTAATAATTTTTCAGTAATACATAAATTTCTCTCGTTAAAATCTAAAACATTGTTACATACACGAGCGAATCGTACAAGTTGAGATATATAAACACCGTAAGATGGTGACAAGGGAACGTCACCATCTAAAAATGGATAATTAACGATAGGAAATGAAAAATCATCTCTTTTATCATATATTTTAGTATTAAGCTTTCCGTTAATGATATAGATATCAAGATCGAGGAAAAGGCAGTGGTCATTGTTAGTATTAGCTTTATTTAAAGTAAGTTCAACAGGATAAATTTCTTTAGTATACATACTAAAGTCGTCATTATTGAGAGCCAAAATATCATCCAAATATCTAAAAGTGTTATTAAATTTGTGTATCAGATGTTATTTCGATGGGTGTTTGCTGATTTTTTGTCATAAATTGTAACTCATAATAATACAAAAAAGGGTCCGCAATAAGTGGTTCTTCTTCTGCTTCTACCGCCACTTTAGGATGCACATGTTAATATTTTATAGAAATAAAGGTTGATTTGTGCTTTTGGTTTTTCAATACTTTTCTAATTATAAACATTTGATTAAAATTTATATTTATGCGAGTATCAAGCCTCGATAAATGGTTATCAATATTCTCAATGTAATAATTGTAATCGTTATATTTCAAAACTGTTATTTTACGTAGCGAGCCGTGATCTGTTTGCATACGATATAACACACGTATTTGATTAGGGTGACACACTGTGCGTCACTTCTGTTGGGTATAAGTAGTGCGTTGTAGTGGCGTGTTTTACTAAATCGTTTAGGTGTTCAAATGACAAACTGACAGTAATTTACAAAATCTCGATAATTACAAGATGAAATTTTATCGTGTTTTTTGCATTCTTAAATGTTAATTACGACTTTAGAATAAGACAAACATGATTTTAGCGTTTTAGTACCTCTTTAATTATCATTATAGAAAGGAGAAACATCATTACATGTAGCAGCTCGCTGGGGACAGTTAAATATAACAAAATGGTTGATAGAAGAAAAAGGAATGGATCCCATGGATAAGACATCTGAGGTAACATTTGTCATTATGTACTTTGTGCTATAAATAGTGATTAACTTAAATAGTCTTTTACATTACATTGATCTCATGGATTTATTAGAATGTTTTTTACATGTTGTGCAGAATTCACGACTTCTCAATTGTCAATTAAAATAAAAAGCGATAGCAAATTTTTGCACGACTTCATGCTAAAGAAAAAATGTTGTTCCCATCAAAAAGGGAAGTCATACTAGAATGGCGGAGGTTCTGTTAACAGTAAAACCTTGTCCAATCCACCAACAATAACTTTAACAAAACTTAGGATGATATATTAGAATGGCGGAGGTTCTGTGAACCGTAAAACCATGTCCAATCCACCAACAATAACTATAACAAAACTTTGGGATGATATATTAGAATGGCGGAGGTTCTGTGAACAGTAAAACCTTGTCCAATCCACCAACAATAACTATATAACAAAACTTAGGGATGATATATTAGAATGGCGGAGGTTCTGTGAACAGTAAAACCTTGTCCAATCCACCAACAATAACTATAACAAAACTTAGGGATGATATATTAGAATGGCGGAGGTTCTGTGAACAGTAAAACCTTGTCCAATCCACCAACAATAACTTTAACAAAACAATACTTTAACACAGTCATTAAACATGGTAAAACAACCAATGTTCCCTTAGGCTGCATTATAAAAAAGCATAAACATTGTTGAAAAACAAAAAAATGCAAACGTGTTAATGTCATACATAAATACTGTGTATACAATTCATAAGACTTAGATGAATGTTCAATAACATAGCAGAAAATAAATGAAAAAATAGGAAATTCATATTAAACATCATGAGCAACTGATTGATATTCATTAATGATATGTTATTTCTACCATGTGGGAAACAAGGAAATACCATCTGTCCGTGCGTGTGTCCGGTCTTGCAAACGCCCCCCAACATACAACGCTAGCCATATTTGTATGACATTTATATCAAAGATTTTTATCAAAAATATATTGGAAGAGTTTTAAATCAATGTCGATCAATTATATCAAAAAGATTCATATAAAAATAGGAAGATGAAGTATGACATGTATGACTATCATTGAGACAACTCGCCATCAGATACCATATAAATTGGAAGTAAGCACGTATAGCCTTCCAAAATGAGAGTAACTAATTCTGCATAGCAAGCGTTCAAAAACCCTGACATGATACATTTAAAAACATTAAAAAGAAAAAAATCACGGCCTGATGTCTGTACAAAACAATATGATAGATGATTGTTGGTTGCTTAACGTCCTGTTGCAATATTTCATGTTTGTTCAGGACGATAACAAATTACCAACAAATACAATAGGTGGGTCATGTAATGGGGGCCGTTCGGGATGTAGGTCGGCGAAATTTGTACTGCCACTGGAAAAGTCAGGTGTGTTGAATAGGAACAGAAATTTTGCCTTACAACAGGCCACCTAAAAGAGTTGTTGCAGAGGTTCTTACACGAGGCATCAGATTTAACGTCCCCATTCTGACCAGACGCGGCTGCGTTTTTGTACATCCGGCACAACCAAACGCACGCCATACTATGGCAAGGGATTTACTGACCGTAGAAGAAGACCAAGATCTAGAGTGACCATATTTCTATTCCCCAGTCACTCTAGCTATAGGGTGTTACAAAACAATAAACGAAAATCGAACAAGATATACAGCATGAAACGACAACCACTGAATTAGCGGCTTCAGACTTGGGACAGGTGCATACATGATGTGTTGAGGTAAAACATGCAAGCGGGCTCCCAACCCTGCCTTAACATGGGACAGTGGTGCAAAATAATGAGAACTGTACAAAACAATACACGAAAAAACAAATGTGATAAACAGCAACAAACACTCAATAGCAGGCTCCTGGCAGGCTTGGGATGGTCACATATAGAATGCAGCGGGGTTAAACATGTTTGTGTGCACCAAACCCTCTCTCTAACCTTGAGGAGTTGTTTAAGAGCTCAATATACATGTAAGAATAAGCGATACACGGCCCATAAAAGGTTAAGTGTGAAATAGAGAACGCAAAATCGTCCCTTTTATCGTTACCTTTTTGCAGAGTTTCTCGTGTGAAACTGAAATATCTAAATTAAGGAAAGAACAGCTATAATTGCTTTTTGCATTTGATTTATTTAAAGTAAGTTCCTTTTAGCAGAAAATCCAGAAAAAAATCTTAATTATTTAACGAAAAAACAACAATATAAATAAATGGAAAGTGTAGTTTAATTACCCATTCACTGGAATCTAGATGGGGTATTAACTGAGTTAACGTCTGCTATTAAAGGAGCGAAATTGATGCCCAAAGGAAAACATATACATTGTAACAGCTCGATAAGCTGTATTGCCGAAATGTACATAGATGTTGTCAAGGAGAAAAGGAGTAATACTATGTCCATGATAATTGGCCATTAAATTTTAATTATAGTTTTTTTTGTATATTAGTTCCAAATACGACAAATTTCGAATATAAACAGCTGTGATATGAATATTAAAACAAATTCAATACCTTTTTTGGCATTTTAACTTCAGTCGTGACCTTTAATTATGTATGATTTGCGTTGTCATGTCAGTTTTGGTTAAATTTCCCCATAATTTACAACAGATTAAGGAATAATTTACTCTGGCCGCCATCCCTTATCGAAAAATAATTTACGCATAGGGATTCAATTTTTACTTACACATCGATTGATTTAAGAATATATTGGATCGCAGGTTGTTGCCAAAGTTTTCCTGAAGCTTTCGGTCCGAACAATGCACAAATCTCCTAAATAAATTGAATTTGGGGATTATTGTGTGCTAGTATGAAGAGATTTGTTTTACCTAGCATACCTACAGGCTTTTGAAAAAGAGGCATCTAACATCCATTCTGTGACATTTTAGCTATTCTATGATAAAGTTTAAATCCAAGGACATAGCTTAGCGAAAGTGAACCTCGTCCTAATATGTGACCCACCATGACATTTCCAGGCTTATAGCGGTAAACGTCATAATGAGAAAACGTCGATGTAAAGTCACGTAACGTAATCGGGGGCACCTGTTATTCAATGTCCTATTATATCATGCGGTAAAATAAAGTTTAAGTTTCATTTTTCTTGATTTGAGGACATTTGAATCTTATGTTTAGATATACAAGTCAAGTATATTTTTTACATAAAATTATTAATTTAAGTTAAATCCCGTTTATAATCGCGTTCTAAATTCACACAATTTATGTTTTAGATTTCATTGCATTGATCTGAATTAAAATTAATTCTCAAAGGGTCCTGAAAATAAACTTTGGATCATTATAGGCATTTCAAAGTGCAGTGTTTATACTTTTCTTCAATTTATTACTAATACAGACTGCAGCATGAACAAGTTTTTGGAGTAACCTTATTGTTCACATTGTAAAGAAAAATTTCTTGGTATTCACATTCTTAGCTTTAATGTACTTTTCCTTAAGAGAAAGAAAATGTTCAAGTCATTATTATTTAGATTGCAGAATCCGGTACATTGCTATGGCAACCGAATGATTGATATAGAAATAAAAATTCTTTAGTTGATTTGTCCAAAAAACACAAAAAAAAAACAAAAAAAAAAATCAACAAAATGACAAGTTTCAAAGATAACTATAATAGATGAAAAGAACATGTGAAAAATTGATAAAAAAATGAAAATTTTTAATAAAATCTAAAGTAACAAAAATGACCATTATTCTGTCATTTTGCAGAATCTAGCAAAATAACTTGTCAGGGTGTTTTGCATCTATGTATACTTCATAAAAATGCTAAAATCTCATTTTGACCATTATACCACCATAAGACTGAAAATCTCATGCTGGTCACATATTTGAAAGTATTGTCAGGACAGAAATTCAAAATTAATTTGTTTGATTGTCGTTGGTTAGTATCTGTCATATTTGTTTTTCGTAAATTGTATTGTATAAATTAGGCCTTTAGATTTCTGGTTTGGATTGTTTCACATTTTTAATGTCGGGACCTTTATTATAGCGGACTCTACGGTATGGGTTTTTCTTGTTGTTGAAGGCCGTACGGTGACTTTTAATTGATCATTAACATTGTCATTTGAATTCTAGTAGATATTTGCCTCTTCGGCAGTCATACCACATCTCCTTATTTTTTATATAAACATTTTTGAATTGAGATTAAATAGATTTGAACCATTCAAAGAATATATATTTCTTGGTGCCATGGAGCTAGTCAATAAGTCCCTATGATATTATGTTTTCCTAACAAAAATGTTTGACTCCAAATATATACTGACAGACTTTAAAAACGCGACACACATTTTGGTGATTTTTTTTATCAAATAAGGATTGATCCTCATATAACTACTATTCATGCTTACTTCAACTGCTTATGAATTCGTCGAATGCCATGATAGACTGATTCGCGCCATAAATGTTACCCATACACTGAAATGCCAAAATAATAGACTGCAGAAAAACGTGTATAGCCCTAATAAACTTTAAACCCCATAATTGCCAAAACACACTGTAATGAGTGGGAAAGAGCCCAAATCAAAAGATACAAATCAGAACTCTAAACCTGCCCAATAGAATAAGTTGACCTTTCTGTCAATCGTTTAGGCGTTGGTTATAGGCCGTCATTGCTTTCGATGGTGATACATCCATTGATAAAGGAAAACTCAGGATTTCAGTCTTACCACATGATTTGAACATTAAATATGACGTATTCAAATTCAACGTTCGAACTGCAAACTTTTTGTAGACAATAAAATAATCTATGAAATTTGTGTTTATACATTTCTTTTACAAAAATTGCATATTTGAAAATGAGAACTAAAAAGAATAATCTAATGTTGCGTTTTTAAAGTCCGTCAGTATATATAATATGTAAAACGATTGACTATAAAATATTTCCCAAAAAAATGATCTAAATCAGAGGGGAGTAAATTTTCAATAATTAATTGATAAGTTATTGTTGAATTATTTTTTACCTTGTATTTGTATTTTATTTTATTTTAAGAATTTCTTTTCAAAATTCGTTTAAATTTAAAAAAAAAGAATAATCATATTTAATTGTTTTTCTAATATGGAACTTTTTGGAAAACAGATCAAACAAATGCTGAAAAAATTACCTTTTCCGATGCGTAAAAATACATCAAATTTTTATTTTTTATACAAAATACAAGACCCATTAAACAAAAAAACCTAGAACATGCTGAAATAATATATACACGTTTAACCTGTATGCACGTGCGTAAAAAACTGGTCCTGCTTGAATGTACACGAATTTCAATCGATTACACACAGGTGACAATCAATTGAGTGTGGCACGTGTCGACAACCATTAAATGACTTCGTAATAATATTACTAAAGATATGATTATGCAATTTCTATTTTTTTTATTTAGACATGGTCTACTTTTATAGTCCACGTCCTTTGTGCCTACTATATCATCCCA